TTAAAAAGCAATTGGGACGTCCCGCATCCCGGCGGGAAAACAATAAAATAAAAAGACGAACTCACCACCCGGCGCACGCGAGATGGATGAGCTGTCAACAGGGGCCGGTGTTGTGTCGCGTCACCACTCGCCTGGCAAGCTGTGACGAGTGGAGGCCGGCAGGGCGGAGCGCCGGGATGCCCCGAACGAGTCTTGCACGCCGACCACGGACTCCCTCTTGCGACTGCAGCCGCCAGCCGCGCTCGAGCAGAAGACGGGGAGCCGCCACTCGAACGTGTGGGGCTCAGCCACCACGGGCGTTGACGTCGGCGGGAACGGCGATATCGTGTTCTGTTGTGCAGCACGATATCGCGATAATCGTAATATCGTGGGAATTCATATATCGTGGTGTATAGTGTAGCACGATATCGCGATAATCGCAATATCGTGGGAATCGCGATATCGTGGTGTACGGCGCAGCGCGATATCGCGATAATCGTAATATCGTGGGAATCGTGATATCGTGTTCTATTGTGCAGCACGATATCGCAATGATTGCCATATCGTGGGAATTGCGATCTCGTCTAGTGTAGCTGTGTAGCACGATATCGCGATAATCGCCATATCGTGGCAATTGGTATATCGTGGTGTATAGTGCAACACGATATCGCGATAATCGCCATATCGTGGGAATTGATATATCGTGGTGTATAGTGCAGCACGATATCGCGATAATCGCCATATCGTGGGAATTTCTAAATCGTGTTGTATCGGTCGGCACGATATCGCGATAATCGTATTATCGTGGGAATCGTGATATCGTGTTCTCATGTGCAGCACGATATCGCGATAATCGTAATATCGTGGGAATCGCGATACCGTGTTCTATTGTGCAGCGCGATATCGCGATAATCGCCATATCGTGGGAATTGATATATCGTGGTGTATGGGGCATCACGATATCGCGATAATCGCCACATCGTGGGAATTTCTAAATCGTGTTGTATCGGTCGGCACGGTATCGCGATAATCGCCACATCGTGGGAATTGCGATATCGCGTTATGGTGCACGGTATCGCGATAATCGCCATATGGTGGGAATCGTGATATCGTGTTCTAATGTGCAGCACGATATCGCGATAATCGGAATATCGTGGAATCGCGATATCGTGTTCTAATGCGCAACACGGTATCGCGATGATCGCCATATCGTGGGAATAGCGATAGCTTTTTCTAATGTGCAGCACGATATCGCGATAGTCGTAATATCGTGGGAATAGCGATAGCGTGTTCTAATGTGCAGCACGATATCGCGATAATCGGAATATCGTGGAATCACGAAATCGTGTTCTAATGTGCAGCACGATATCGCGATAATCGTTATATCGTGGGAATCGCGATATCGTGTTCTAATGCGCAACACGGTATCGCGATAATCGCCATATCGTGGCAATTGGTATATCGTGGTGTATAGTGCAACACGATATCGCGATAATCGCCATATCGTGGGAATTGATATATCGTGGTGTATAGTGCAGCACGATATCGCGATAATCGCCATATCGTGGGAATTTCTAAATCGTGTTGTATCGGTCGGCACGATATCGCGATAATCGTATTATCGTGGGAATCGTGATATCGTGTTCTCATGTGCAGCACGATATCGCGATAATCGTAATATCGTGGGAATCGCGATACCGTGTTCTATTGTGCAGCGCGATATCGCGATAATCGCCATATCGTGGGAATTGATATATCGTGGTGTATGGGGCATCACGATATCGCGATAATCGCCACATCGTGGGAATTTCTAAATCGTGTTGTATCGGTCGGCACGGTATCGCGATAATCGCCACATCGTGGGAATTGCGACATCGCGTTATGGTGCACGGTATCGCGATAATCGCCATATGGTGGGAATCGTGATATCGTGTTCTAATGTGCAGCACGATATCGCGATAATCGGAATATCGTGGAATCACGAAATCGTGTTCTAATGTGCAGCACGATATCGCGATAATCGTTATATCGTGGGAATCGCGATATCGTGTTTTATTGTGCAGCACGATATCGCGATAATCGTCGTATCGTGGGAATTGATATATCGTGGTGTATGGGGCATCACGATATCGCGATAATCGCCACATCGTGGGAATTGCGATATCGCGTTATGGTGCACGATATCGCGATAATCGCCATATGGTGGTAATTGCTATACCATGTTGTATGACGCAGCACGATATCGCGATAATCGCCATATCGTGGGAATCGTGATATCGTGTTCTATTGTGCAGCTCGATATCGCGATAAATCGTAATATCGTGGGAATCGCGATATCGTGTTCTAATGTGCAGCACGATATCGCGATAATCGCCGTATCGTGGGAATCGCGATATAGCGGTGTGGGGGGCATCACGATATCGCGATAATCGCTGTATCGTGGGAATTGCAATATCGCGTTATGGTGCACGATATCGCGATAATCGCCATATGGTGGTAATTGCTATACCATGTTGTATGACGCCCACGATATCGCGATAATCGCCATATCGTGTGAATCACAATATACTGCTGTGACGCAGCACGATATCGCGATAATCCCCATATCGTGGGAATCACGATATTCGGTTGTGTGGCGCAGCACGATATCGCGATAATCCCCATATCGTAGGAATCACAATATCCTGTTGTGGGGCGCAGCACGATATCGCGATAATCGCCATATGGTGGTAATTGCTATACCATGTTGTATGACGCCCACGATATCGCGATAATCGCCACATCGTGGGAATCGCTGTATCGCGAAGCACGATATCGCGATAATCGCTATATCGTGGGAATCGCGATATCGTGCAGCAAGGCTTGGTATACCGGGGGTATCGCGGGAGTGGACTGTTCAGAGCAGCGAACCAAAAATAAATACATTATGTTATCGGTCACGCCGTGGACAAAGGGAAATATCGCAATAACTAAAATAATTGAACGCTCCTGTTAGATAAAAATTTAACAAAATTGTAAAACCAGTGAAATAATAACAACATTGGTAGTTGTCTTAGTACAGTGTAACTGCGAAGTCAGGTTTATTAAAATTCGTGTTCTATTGTGCAGCACGATATCGCGATAATCGCTACATCGTGGGAATTTCTAAATCGTGTTGTATCTGTCGGCACGATATCGCGATAATCGTCGTATCGTGGTAATTGCTGTATCGTAGTGAATGGTGCGGCACGCTATCGCGATAATCGCCATATCGTGGGAATCACAATATACTGCTGTTGCGCAGCACGATATCGCGATAATCGCCATATCGTGGGAATCGCGATATCGTGTTTTATTGTGCAGCACGATATCGCGATAATCGCCATATTGCGGGAATCGCGATTTCGTGTTCTTTAGTGCAGCACGATATCGCGATAATCGTTATATCGTGGGAATCGTGTTCTATTGTGCAGCACGATATCGCGATAATCGCCATATCGTGGGAATTGCTGTATCGTGGTACATGGTGCGGCACGATATCGCGATAATCGCCATATCGTGGGAATTGATATATCGTGGTGTATGGGGCATCACGATATTGCGATAAATCGCCACATCGTGGGAATTTCTAAATCGTGTTGTATCGGTCGGCACGGTATCGCGATAATCGCCACATCGTGGGAATTGCGATATCGCGTTATGGTGCACGATATTGCGATAATCGCCATATGGTGGGAATTGCTATACCATGTTGTATGACGACCACGATATCGCGATAATCGCCATATCGTGGGAATCACAATATACTGCTGACGAAGCACGATATCGCGATAATCGCAATATCGTGGGAATTGTGATATCGTGTTCTGTGGTGCAGCACGATATCGCGATAATCGCCACATCGTGGGAATCTCTGTATCGTGTTGTATCGCGAAGCACGATATCGCGATAATCGCCATATCGTGGGAATCGCGATATCGTGCAGCAAGGCTTGGTATACCGGGGGTATCGCGGGAGTGGACTGTTCAGAGCAGCGAACCAAAAATAAATACATTATGTTATCGGTCACGCCGTGGACAAAGGGAAAAATCGCAATAACTAAAATAATTGAACGCTCCTGTTAGATAAAAATGTAACAAAATTGTAAAACCAGTGAAATAATAACAACATTGGTAGTTGTCTTAGTACAGTGTAACTGCGAAGTCAGTTTTATTAAAAGTCCTCACCCTAAATTCCTCATCGTACGCACCCACCGCGGGCAAAACTAAATATCGGAATAACTAAAAAGCGACGAAACACTTACACGAAATCGCGATTTAATATTAAAACGAGCGGAACAATAATAATAACAATAATAATATTATCAACATTACGCGAGCCTGTACAGTACAGCGTTACCATCCGCGGCGAACTACCCGAATGTTTACTGCCAGTGGAGGAATCCGAAGAGCCGCAAAGCTCCTTGACGGGTGTCCGGCGATATAAGAGAGGAGTCGTGAACTTTGTGGGATTGTGACAAGTTTAATAATGAAGAGCGGAGCGAGAGGCGACATTTCCTCGCCCGGGTTCACGCCCTCCTCCTCCTCCTCGTGTGGTGCTGCTGGTGGTGGTTATACAAAACGGATTAAAATTATAGAATTTATATGAATGAAATGAAAAAAATTAAATAAAAAATATTAAATATAATATAACGTGTGAATAAGTATAAACAATGTTTTTTTATACAATACTAAATATGAAATAATATAAAACAAATAAATATAAAACGTTAAATATGAGATAAATATAAAATCAAGTGTTAAATATAAAATGTAGACTAAATTAAAATTTAAACAAAAAATACGATATAAAAGCATAAATTAAATATTTAAATGTATACAAAAAAATATAAAATAAGAAATTAAAAATGTACATTTTAAAATAAAAATATAAGCTAATAAAATGTATACAAATCAAGAAATAAAAAAATATGAGATCTAACAAAAAACTGACTAATATAAAAACGTAAATTGTAAAATTATAAATATAAAAATATAAACCCAAAAAATATATAAAATCTAAACTAATAAATATAAAATGGTCAAACTGCCGATGCCCTTATATGGCGCGTGACGTCACCGCCATGGCGCCGCGCCACCGCTGAGGCGACCACTTTTTGTTGTTGGCGCGCTTTTCCCGCCACCTCCATCACCACCATCACCACCCACCTCATCACCCCCCCCTCCTTGTCACCCCGCTCCTCCTCCACCTCGTCGTCAACCCGCCACCAAGTCGAGCCCCGCTCCCTCTTTGCAGGGACCAGGCGAAGACTTCGGTGCCCTCTTCCCCCCACCCCCCCATCAGCCGAGAGCGGGCGGCGCGTAGAAGCCTGTGCAGTGTAGGCCGCGCTAGACTTGCCCGCTGCGCCAGGCCACCGCCTCAGCCTTTACAACATTCTCGAGACTTTAGTTTTTAAAAAAAAAAAACACCCTCTGCATAACAACAACAGCGACGTTAGCGAGGAGGAGAGTGCGCGACGTCGTGACGGTGATAGAAGCCCGCGGGAGTCAGCTGCGATGCTGCCGATGCCGATGCCGCCGCCGCTGCTACAGCCGCAGCGATATCCTTGCAGCCCGTGAGGAGAGGCCTCGACCAGGTAAAGATTTAAAACATGTTGGTTCAACAGCAACAGCGGTAGTAAAAGGAGGCTTTCGCGACCTATATCATACGTAATATAGGTTGCTTCTTGGGGTGAGGGGGGGGAGAGAGATCATGTAAATGTTGTGGCGTTAAACTTCGCCTTCACCCGACTGACAATTCGTACGGTTTGTGTCACGTAAACAGAACGTGACAATTCGTTACTTGTGCGGCACACCGGTGTGTTGGAGAGTAAATATACATTTACAATCTGTGTGTGTGTGTTGGAGAGAATCTAAAACAATTACAATCTGTGTGTGTGTTGGAGAGTAAATCTACAACAATTACAATCTGTGTGTGTGTTGGAGAGTAAATCTACAACAATTACAATCAGTGTGTGTGTGTTGAAGAGTAAATCTACAACAATTACAATCTGTGTGTATATTGGAGAGTAAATCTACAACAATTACAATCTGTGTGTGTTGGAGAGTAACCCCACAACAATTACAATCTATGTGTGTGTTGGAGAGTAAATCTACAACAATTACAATGTGTGTGTGTTGTAGAGTAAATCTACAACAATTACAATCTGTGTGTGTATTGGAGAGTAAACCCACAACAATTACAATCTGTGTGTGTGTGTTGGAGAGTAAATCTACAACAATTACAATCTGTGTGTGTGTTGGAGAGTAAATCTACAACATTTACAATCTGTGTGTGTGTTGGAGAGTAAACCCACAACAATTACAATCTGTGTGTGTGTTGGAGAGTAAATCTACAACAATTACAATCTGTGTGTGTGTGTTGGAGAGTAAATCTACAACAATTACAATCTGTGTGTGTGTTGGAGAGTAAATCTACAACAATTACAATCTGTGTGTATATTGGAGAGTAAATCTACAACAATTACAATATGTGTGTGTGTTGGAGAGTAAACCTACAACAATTACAATCTGTGTGTGTGTTGGAGAGTAAATCTACAACAATTACAATCAGTGTGTGTGTGTTGAAGAGTAAATCTACAACAATTACAATCTGCGTGTATATTGGAGAGTAAATCTACAACAATTACAATCTGTGTGTGTTGGAGAGTAACCCCACAACAATTACAATCTGTGTGTATTGGAGAGTAAACCCACAACAATTACAATCTGTGTGTGTGTTGGAGAGTAAATCTACAACAATTACAATCTGTGTGTGTGTTGGAGAGTAAATCTACAACATTTACAATCTGTGTGTGTGTTGGAGAGTAAACCCACAACAATTACAATCTGTGTGTGTGTTGGAGAGTAAATCTTCAACAATTACAATCTGTGTGTGTGTTGGAGAGTAAATCTACAACAATTACAATCTGTGTGTGTGTTGGAGAGTAAATCTACAACAATTACAATCTGTGTGTTGGAGAGTAAATCTACAACAATTACAATCTGTGTGTATATTGGAGAGTAAATCTACAACAATTACAATATGTGTGTGTGTTGGAGAGTAAACCTACAACAATTACAATCTGTGTGTGTGTTGGAGAGTAAATCTACAACAATTACAATCTGTGTGTGTGTTGGAGAGTAAATCTACAACAATTACAATCTGTGTGTGTGTTGGAGAGTAAATCTACAACAATTACAATCTGTGTGTGTGTTGGAGAGTAAATCTACAACAATTACAATCTGTGTGTGTGTGTGTGTTGGAGAGTAAATCTACAACAATTACAATCAGTGTGTGTGTTGGAGAGTAAATCTACAACAATTACAATCTGTGTGTGTGTTGGAGAGTAAACCCACAACAATTACAATCTGTGTGTGTGTTGGAGAGTAAATCTACAACAATTACAATCTGTGTGTGTGTTGGAGAGTAACCCCACAACAGTTACAATCTGTGTGGGTGTTGGAGAGTAAATCTACAACAATTACAATCTCTGTGTGTGTTGGAGAGTAAATCTACAACAATTACAATCTGCGTGTGTGTTGGAGAGTAAATCTACAACAATTACAATCTGTGTGTGTATTGGAGAGTAACCCCACAACAGTTACAATCTGTGTGGGTGTTGGAGAGTAAATCTACAACAATTACAATCTGTTTGTGTGTTGGAGAGTAAATCTACAACAATTACAATCTGCGTGTGTGTTGGAGAGTAACCCCACAACATTTACAATCTGTGTGTGTTGGAGAGTAAACCCACAACAATTACAATGTGTGTGTGTTGGAGAGTAAACCTACAACAATTACAATCAGTGTGTGTGTGTTGGAGAGTAACCCCACAACAATTACAATCTGTGTGTGTTGGAGAATAAATCAACAACAATTACAATCTGTGTGTGTTGGAGAGTAAATCCACAACAATTACAATCTGTGTGTGTGTTGGAGAGTAAATCCACAACAATTACAATCTGTGTGTGTGTTAGAGAGTAAACCCACAACAATTACAATCTGTGTGTGTATTGGAGAGTAAATCTACAACATTTACAATTTGTGTTGGAGAGAAAATGCACAACAATAACAATCTGTATGTGTGTTGGAGAAAACACAATCCACATTTGAAATGTTATTTTTGTAAATGTGGGTTTACTCTGCAACACACCGGTTAGTACTGGGCTAGTAACGAATTGACACATTCCGTTTACGTGACAACCCCCTTACTAATTGGCTGTGTCGGGTGGTGGCGCGTTTAACGACACAACATTTATATTTACGCGATCTAACCCCAAAAAACAACCTATGTTATGGATTTCAACTTTCACAAAACACCTCCCACTCACCCATCCTTAAACTTTGCCTGCTAGAACTTCTTGCCGCTGTTAATTTGGCATCGGCGTTGTTTCAATTGTGCAATGTGGGTGAACACGCCTTCCCCTATGTTTGTGTGCAGTTCAGGTTGTTGTGGTGGTGGTGGTGGTGATATTTTAGTTTGGCCGGATAGAGGGAGCTAAACGGGCATGGCAGAGGCTAGAGAAGAGAAGGAGTGATGTGGTACAAGAGGAAGTGGAGCTGAGTGGACTTGCCGATGACTGGCACCAGCGGTGTCAAGATCGGCCTCTGTGAAGGAGGAGGCTTGTGCAGGACGCTGCTGGGCAATTGGAGGCAGTCGCCCTCCAGCAACAACGGAGGGCAGAGGAGCGACGCTCCCAACAACGAGCAGATTGCTGGGCGGCTAAAGCACAGCAAGTTGGCACAGTAAGGGGCATAGGTGGTGCATCAGTCAGTCATCTCAGTCAGTGGGCATTCCACACTTCACGTGGCCTCAACGTGCACATAGCCTGGCACAGGTGTTGTGGTGATGTCACCGCCACTTAGTGGCGAATAGCAGGTGTTGGTGGTGGTGCTGCCCTCCCACCCCCTCTGCGTGTGTCACAGTGTCGGCCTTCATAGGTGCTGCCGCTACTCGCTAACGCCACCTGCCTCACAGTCTGTTCAGGCAATATGGGGGCGGAGGATCTTTGGTGGAGGAGGGGGATTAGGAGGAGATGGAGCGAACAAACCTCGGATTGAGATTCCCTTGAGGGAGAGGAGCGGGCTGAGCTGAGCTGAGCGCCTAGTTGTGCTAATGTTCGTACTTTATAATGCAAGCATGCGCTCGTGTTAATTTGTATTTACAATGTCGTGTCTGTGGGTTGCAAACACTTGGGAGTGTTGTACAGAATAAGCCTACTTGGTGCAGTCGGTCAGTTGGACCTACAGCGATCGTTTGCTAAACTCTTGAACATTTACAGGGCATTGTATGGTGCGGATAATGCGATTCAACCTTCATACGTGCTTGAGCTTGTATAAACTTAATGCGAAGTAAAATATTGACTTAAAGCTTTCACGACTGCAGGAATTCATATTCTTTGGGTCTTTCGGTGAAGTGACGTAGATAGGTTCAAAGATAATTACAAAAAGTGTCAAAAAGCTACGACCTTTCGACCGCAACACAAGCGTTCGTCATCAGGGGAAAAAAACCCCGCTCGTCTTGCGATCAAAACGCCGTAGTATTTTTTGTTATTTTCCTTGAACTTATTAACGTGACTTTACCAAGAGACCCGAAGAATATTAATGCGAAGTTATTTATAGTGGATGCATTCGAGAGCTTGTGTGTGTCTCCGTGCGTGCACTTGCAGCACCATGAAGAAGGGCAGGAATTCATGTTCGAGTGACGAATCGGACGGTGAGTGTGCGCCTCTCCGCTCGTGGGTGTCCGGGCTTCGTCGCGCGGAGGCGGCTGCGTTTGTCCGGATCACGTGGCCCGCACGCCAACCCACCGCACGCTGCCCGGCGGAGCTTGTGTCTTTTTTGCCGGATGGAGGGGGGCTGAACGGGTGCGGCGCCGGCTGAAGGGGAGAGGTTGGACTTTGCCGGGCGGCTAAAACGCAGCGAGTCGGCACTGTGAGGGGGGGCAGAGTTGGGCCATTCATCTCAGCCGATTGCACCTGCCTGGGGTTACTCTCTGTCCCGCGACCTCCTGCCCGCAAGACTTCGGCACGGCGCAAGTGCACCTAGGCTGGCACAAGTGCCGTGGTGACATCACCGTCACTTAGTGGCAAATGGCGGCTGTGAGCGTGTTGGCGAACGTGTGCGCGCGTGTGTAGCGCTAATATCTGAACCCTTCACGAGCCGCCCCCCCCCCCATGTCGACTTCGCCTGAAATGAGTTCCTGGTATGTGGGTCTGTGAATAAAACATCAGCACTGGGGAGACAAAGGCGGCCAGGATGGGTGCGGTGGCAACCAGGAAGGGCGTGGTGCAGACCACGCCACTCCCTCGTGGTGCCGGCCCTCGTAGTGCTGCTGCTCGCCAACAGCGCTTGCTGCTACACGGGGGGGGGGGGGGGGGGGATCTGTGTCGACTGCGTCCGTCTGTCCGCGTTTGTATCCCCTGTACGCAGGTGCTGCCACTGTTCCCTCTTGGCCACCACCGCCCTCATCGTCCTCTTCCAAGCAGCAACAGCATCACCCTCACCAACATCACCCTCCTCACCCTCCTCACCCTCCTCACCACCACCAGCAGCCTCAACTCAAATCACGATCCCACCGATTCTCGTCGTCGTCGTCGTCGTCGACCGCCATCGCCGCAGCAGCAGCGACGATGACGCCGTCGGCGACGTCATCATCGGCCGCGGTGGCCGTGGCGACGGTGACATCGCCGCCGCCGCCGCCGCCGCCGCCACCGACGCCGTCGTCATCTTCGTCTCACCGCCCGGCGGAGGTTTACCGCAAGGACCTCATCAGCGCCATGAAGGTGCCGGACTCGGCGCAGCTGGGCCCCGGCGAATATTACGTCATGGCGGACGCCTGGAAGCCCGAGTGGGAGAAGGGGGTGCAGGTGCCTGTGTGCAGCGAGCAGGACTACCCGGAGCCCAGCGTCAGGTGCGAGCCGCCCCCTCCCTGCCCGTGTCTCTCCCCCGTGTCTCCGCTCACCTGCCCTGTGTCTCCCCCTTCTCACCCCTCACCTTCCCCGTGTCTTCCTCGTGTCTCCGCTCACCTTCCCCACGTCTCCCCCTTCTCACCCCTCACCTTCCCCGTGTCTCCCCCGTGTCTCCTCTCACCTTCCCCGTGTCTCCCCCGTGTCTCCGCTCACCTTCCCCGCGTCTCCCCCGCGTCTTCGCTCTCCTTCCACGCGTCTCCCACGTGCGTCTCCTCCCGCGTGCGTCTCTTCTCATGCTCCCCCCCCCCCCCCCCCCCCCCCCCCCCCCCCCCCCCCCCCCCCCCCCCCCCACCTGTTTCTCGCCCCAGGATACTGGCGGAGCGCGAGAAAGCCGTGACGTTTGCACGGACCAGGAAGTATATCCAGATGTCGGACCTGGAGTCTCCAACACCCGGCTACGCCGACCTGCGCTCGCTCATCCAGGCAACCTGCCACTACGACCTGGACGATACCGACCTCTCCTGGCTACAGATGGCCAACCGCGAGCTCCAGCGCATGGGTGTGTGGGGTCTACACACACACAACAACAACAACAACAACCGCCATTCGCCACCAAGTGGTGGTGACGTCACCACGGCGCTAGTGCCAGGCTATGGGCACGTTAAGGCCACATACAGAGACACACTCATACAGAGACACACACTCATACAGAGACACACACTCCTACAGAGACACACTCCTACAGAGACACACTCCTACAGAGACACACACTCCTACAGAGACACACACTCCTACAGAGACACTCCTATGGAGACACTCCTACAGAGACACACACTTCTACAGAGACACACACTCGTACAGAGACACACACACTCATACATATACACAACAACAACAACTGCCATTCGCCACTAAGTGGTGGTGACGTCACCACGGCGCTAGTGCCAGGCTATGGGCACTTTAAGGCCACATATACAGAGACACACACTCCTACAGAGACACACACTCGTACAGAGACACACACTCGTACAGAGACACACACTCATACAGAAACACACACTCGTACAGAGACACACACTCGTACAGAGACACACACACTCATACATATACACAACAACAACAACCGCCATTCGCCACTAAGTGGCGGTGATGTCACCACGATGCTTGTGCCAGGCTATGTGCACCTTGAGGCCACGTGAAGTGTCGAACGCCCGCTGGCAGGAAGTCACGGGGCAGACCCAGGTGCCACGGGTCGACTGACTGAGATAACTGGCTGATGCACCACCTGTGCCCCCTACTGTGCCAACTTGCTGTGCTTTAGCCACCCAGCGCCCCGCTCGTTGTTGTGAGCGTCGCTCCTCCGCCGTTGTTGTTGGAGGGCGACTGCCTCCAACTGCCCAGTAGCGTCCTTCACGAGCCTCCTCCACAGAGGCCGATCTTGACACCGCTGGTACCATTCATCGGCAAGTCCACTCAGCTCCACGTCCTCCTGTACCACATCACTCCATCTCTTCTCTAGCCCCCTCTATCCGGCCGAACAAAAGCTGTTTTAGGCATGCGGTGACTGGGCATGCGGGCTACATGACCCAGCCAACGCAGCCTTGCCTGCCGGAGGAGCTCACCGATGGGACTTGGCCCAGATCTTTTAAGGATTTGTGAGCTCCTCACACAATCCAGCCTGGTTAAACCCAGGATGGATCGTAGGCAGGCCAGCCTAAAAGTTTCCAATCGGCGAAGATGTTCCATTAGGGGGGTCCACGTTTCGCAAGCGTAGAGAAGGGAGGGAATGACCGTGGCCGAGAAGACTTGAAGCTTCGTGCGGAGCGACAGACCAGGTAGCTTCCACACAGCGTTACGCAACCAATGAAAAGATAATGCCGTTCGACTGATTCTGAGTGAGACCTCTGCTGTCAAACCGAAGCCGGTCATGAGCACACTGCCCAGGTATGGGAAACTCTCCACTCTCTCCACAACTGCCCCATCACCGTTTGGGAGTTGTGGGGGTGGGTTGCTTGATGGTACAAAGCACCCAGGCAGGTGCTTAGTTTGGGTGGGGCTGATGGTAAGGCCCCACCTCTTAGTGGCACGCTCCAGTTTCAGCAGCAGCGTCTCCAACTCCTCCGCTGAATGAGCAGCTATTACCAAATCATCAGCATACATAACATGGTTGAGCAATAGGGAGCCATCCCTTGACCGCACCCGGGCATCGATCAGCCTTACATTGTATCTGTACCAGATGGAAATTCCTCTGGTACAGCCATCAAAGACTTCATGAACTACGTGGTCAAAAAATATGTTAAATAATGTGGGAGTTAGAGGACATCCCTGTCGCACCCCAAGGTGAACAGGGAATGGCTCCGACTCCCGGCCACGTAGTTTTACCCGGGCCCGCTCACCATCATGAAGGTCCTTAATGGTCATGAGCAGAGGGTCAGGGACTCCGAAAGCACGAAGAACAACCCAGAGCCCAGGCCTACTGATGGTATCATAGGCCTTGACCAGGTCAATAAAGCAGAGATGTAGGTCTTATTGGAATTCCCTACACCTCTGCTGTAGCAAACGGACAGAAAATATGGCATCTGTGCAGGGCCGCCCTTTCCTGAAACCACATTGGGGCTCAGCAAGCCTCTCCTCAGCGTGCCTGGCAAGGCGATGTTGAATAATCCTTGCCAGGACCTTTTCCGGCACACTGAGGAGTGAGATGCCCCTGTAGGTGTTACATTCTGTGCGGTCCCCCTTAAAAAGGGGGACCACCAGGGCATCCTTCCAATCCTGCGAAACCCGTCTAGTGGCCCAGACTGTTGTTATGATGTCATGTAGGGCAGTCTGTGCACAAACGCCACCCTCCCTCAGCATTTCGCTTGGGAGATCATCTCTGCCCGGTGCCTTTCCTGGTCTCAGACTCTGAATCGCCTTTAGTACTTCCTCAACAGATGGCACCTCAGCCAGCCACTCAAAGGGGGTGACTTCTTCCTCCAATATTTGAGGCACCACAGCCTCAGAAGGGTCATCCCCACTTTGTCCCACGATGTTTTCCAGGCTGAGGGATTTCCCCTCCCCCAGGACTTCACAGAAATGCTCAGCAAATCTGCAAACCTGTTCATGGGGGGCGGAGATTGGAGCACCGTATTTTGCCCTAAAGATGGTTCTAGGTGTGGCGCTGCAGGTAATTTTTTTGATGGAGTTAAATAGGGATTTGTGATCGCGGGCCACTGAGGCAGACTCCATCTCCTCAGCAACCCGCGACCACCACTCATTCTTGCAGCGCCTCACGGCTCTCCGAACCTCCGAGCGAAGGCTGCGGTAAGCCTCCTCATTCTCTGACGTGGGATGCTGTAGACGATTAGAGTGGGCCTGTCACTTTTTCTCTGCCATCCTGAACACCTCTGTCAGCCAGGGTCTCTGGGGAGGTCTATACCGTGTACCCAAAGCAGCCATTGCAGCTGCCTGAGTCACAGTCCTAAACCTCGCCCATTTACCTTCGACATCTGGAGGAGTGGGGGACAATGCCAACCCCAGCCACAAGCAATGATGAAATTCTTGCTTGCAACTTTCATCAGCTAGCTAAGACCAGGCCACCTTAGGTTGGAATGGGGTCCTGGGTGTACACCCACCACCAGAGTGGAAGAATGGCAGGCGCATCTTACAGATGACAAGTCGATGGTCAGAGGGCAGATCAGCTCCACGGTAGGTCCTAGTGTCAAGGACATGGGCCTGCATCCGTTGTTCCGTCACTATGTAGTCCAGCAGATGTTCTTGCTTGGACCCGGCATGCATCCATGATGTTGTGTGGATGCGCCGATGCCGGAACAGCGTGTTGGTAATTACAAGCCCATGGCTGCACAAAATCTAGCAGCCTCCTACCGTTGTTATTGAACTGATCTGGCCCATGCCTTCCAATCACTCCAGACCAGGTGCCAGCATCATGACCAACTCGGGCATTGAAGTCACCCAACAAGATGACTATCCCGAGGGGCCACTTTAGCCAGCACCAGTGACAGGAGGTCATAGAATGCATCTGACTCATCGGCCTTGCCTTCATCCCTCCACTGATGTTCATCTTCGGTGGGGGCATAAGAAGCCACGACCACCACTCCTCGCCTCCGGTTGATGGGAAGGCGAGCCCAAAGTAGCCTGGGGCTTACAGCTTCCCATACCTCACCGCCACGCTCCCACGCCCCCTTCATTCTTTTTGTTCAGAAGAAGAGCCACTCCCCGTTGTTTGGTAGTCTCTTGCCCCGAGTAGAGGACTGTCCACCCCTCATGGTGGCAGGAGCCAGAGCCAGTCCACCGGACCTGAAAGCCACAGAGATCCAGGCGGTACCGGTCCAGCTCCCGATAGAGGAGTGGCAGCCTCTCCTCCGCAGTGAGCATTCGAACATTCCACGTGGCCATCCGTAGCGCCTTTTCGTTGTTTCTGGAGGAGCCCCGAGGGTAAAGATTCAATCGCCTGGCTCCGCCAAATGGGGTTTGGCCAGGAGACGAAGTTTCACCGTACCTGTGCCGGCCGACCGGTGCCGTGGCGTACTAAGCATCTCCTCCGCAAAGATCAGGGCGGCCGGGGCGAGTGGTGACAGTACCGTGATCCCCCCCCGACAACCGGCGGTTGCATGACGGCTACGCGGGCGGGGGGGGATGGTTGACCTTTGACCCGGCAGGGGAGCCGCGGGTGGACGAGGCTGCGGCGGAGCGCGTGATGGAGCGGCTGGAGCGGCGCTGCGAGGACCGCATGGCGGTGGCCATGGACACGGTGGAGGGCCTGGGCATCGAGTACGACGAGGACGTGGTGTGCGACGTGTGCCGCTCGCCCGACTGCGAGGAGGCCAACGAGATGGTGTTCTGTGACCGCTGCAACGTGTGTGTCCACCAGGTGAGCGTGGGTGGGTGAGTTGGTGGGTGGGTGGGTGAGTTGGTGGGTGGGTGAGTTGGTGGGTGGGTGGGTGGGTGAGATGGTGTTCTGTGACCGCTGCAACGTGTGTGTCCACCAGGTGAGCGTGGGTGGGTGAGTTGGTGGGTGGGTGGGTGAGTTGGTGGGTGGGTGGGTGAGTTGGTGGGTGGGTGAGTTGGTGGGTGGGTGAGTTGGTGGGTGGGTGGGTGGGTGAGATGGTGTTCTGTGACCGCTGCAACGTGTGTGTCCACCAGGTGAGCGTGGGTGGGTGGGTGGGTGAGTTGGTGGGTGGGTGGGTGAGTTGGTGGGTGGGTGGGTGAGTTGGTGGGTGGGTGGGTGAGTTGGTGGGTGGGTGGGTGAGTTGGTGGGTGAGTTGGTGGGTGGGTGGGTGGGTGAGATGGTGTTCTGTGACCGCTGCAACGTGTGTGTCCACCAGGTGAGCGTGGGTGGGTGAGTTGGTGGGTGGGTGGGTGAGTTGGTGGGTGGGTGGGTGAGTTGGTGGGTGAGTGAGATGGTGTTCTGTGACCGCTGCAACGTGTGTGTCCACCAGGTGAGCGTGGGTGGGTGGGTTGGTGGGTGGGTGAGTTGGTGGGTGGGTGGGTGAGTTGGTGGGTGGGTGGGTGGGTGAGTGAGATGGTGTTCTGTGACCGCTGCAACGTGTGTGTCCACCAGGTGAGCGTGGGTGGGTGGGTGAGTTGGTGGGTGGTTGGGTGAGTTGGTGGGTGGGTGAGTTGTTGGGTGGGTGGGTGAGTTGGTGGGTGGGTGAGTTGGTGGGTGGGTGGGTGAGATGGTGTTCTGTGACCGCTGCAACGTGTGTGTCCACCAGGTGAGGGTGGGTGGGTGGGTGAGTTGGTGGGTGGTTGGGTGAGTTGGTGGGTGGGTGGGTGAGTTGGTGGGTGGGTGGGTGAGATGGTGGATGAGTTGGTGAGTGGGTGGGTGAGTTGGTGGGTGGGTGGGTGAGTGAGATGGTGTTCTGTGACCGCTGCAACGTGTGTGTCCAACAGATGAGGGTGGGTGATTGGGTCGGAGGGTAAGTGGGTCGAGGGTGGGTGGGTGGATGAGTGAGTGGGTTAAATGGTGGGTAGGTGAGTGAATGAGTGGGTGGTTGAGTATGTGGGTGGGTTAGAGGGTGGGTGATTGAGTGAATGAGTGGCTGGTTGAGTGAATGGGCGGTTGAGTGGGTGGGTGGGTGAGTGAATGAGTGGCTGGTTGAGTGAATGAGTGGCTGGTTGAGTGGGTGGGTGGGTGAGTGAATGAGTGGCTGGTTGAGTGAGTGAGTGGGTGGGTGAGTGAATGAGTGGCTGGTTGAGTGGGTGGGTGGGTGAGTGGGTGGGTGGGTGAGTGAGTGAATGAGTGGCTGGTTGAGTGAGTGGGTGGGTGAGTGAATGAGTGGCTGGTTGAGTGAGTGGGTGGGTGGGTGAGTGAATGAGTGGCTGGTTGAGTGGGTGGGTGGGTGGGTGAGTGAATGAGTGGCTGGTTGAGTGTGTGGGTGGGTTAGAGGGTGGGTGAGTGAGTGAATGAGTGGCTGGTTGAGTGGGTGGGTGAGTGAATGAGTGGCTGGTTAAGTGGGTGGGTGGGTGGGTGAGTGAATGAGTGGCTGGTTGAGTGTGTGGGTGGGTTAGAGGGTGGGTGAGTGAGTGAATGAGTGGCTGGTTGAGTGAGTGGGTGAGTGAGTGAGTGAATGAGTGGCTGGTTGAGTGAGTGGGTGGGTGAGTGAATGAGTGGCTGGTTGAGTGGGTGGGTGGGTGGGTGAGTGAATGAGTGGCTGGTTGAGTGTGTGGGTGGGTTAGAGGGTGGGTGAGTAAGTGAATGAGTGGCTGGTTGAGTGGGTGGGTGGGTGGGTGAGTGAATGAGTGGCTGGTTGAGTGGGTGGGTGGGTGGGTGAGTGAATGAGTGGCTGGTTGAGTGAGTGAGTGGGTGGGTGAGTGAATGAGTGGCTGGTTGAGTGGGTGGGTGAGTGAATGAGTGGCTGGTTGAGTGGGTGGGTGGGTGAGTGAATGAGTGGCTGGTTGAGTGAGTGTGTGGGTGGGTGAGTGAATGAGTGGCTGGTTGAGTGGGTGGGTGGGTGAGTGAATGAGTGGCTGGTTGAGTGAGTGGGTGGGTGAGTGAATGAGTGGGTAGGTGGGTGAGTGAATGAGTGGCTGGTTGAGTGGGTGGGTGGGTGAGTGAATGAGTGGCTGGTTGAGTGAGTGGGTGGGTGAGTGAATGAGTGGCTGGTTGAGTGGGTGGGTGGGTGAGTGAATGAGTGGCTGGTTGAGTGAGTGGGTGGGTGAGTGAATGAGTGGCTGGTTGAGTGGGTGGGTGAGTGAATGAGTGGCTGGTTGAGTGGGTGGGTGGGTGGGTGAGTGAATGAGTGGCTGGTTGAGTGAGTGTGTGGGTGGGTGAGTGAATGAGTGGCTGGTTGAGTGGGTGGGTGGGTGAGTGAATGAGTGGCTGGTTGAGTGAGTGGGTGGGTGAGTGAATGAGTGGCTGGTTGAGTGGGTGGGTGAGTGAATGAGTGGCTGGTTGAGTAAGTGGGTGGGTGAGTGAATGAGTGGGTAGGTGGGTGAGTGAATGAGTGGCTGGTTGAGTGGGTGGGTGGGTGAGTGAATGAGTGGCTGGTTGAGTGAGTGGGTGGGTGAGTGAATGAGTGGCTGGTTGAGTGGGTGGGTGGGTGAGTGAATGAGTGGCTGGTTGAGTGAGTGGGTGGGTGGGTGAGTGAATGAGTGGGTGGGTGAGTGAATGAGTGGCTGGTTGAGTGAGTGGGTGGGTGAGTGAATGAGTGGCTGGTTGAGTGAGTGGGTGGGTGAGTGAATGAGTGGCTGGTTGAGTGGGTGGGTGGGTGAGTGAATGAGTGGCTGGTTGAGTGAGTGGGTGGGTGGGTGAGTGAATCAGTGGCTGGTTGAGTGGGTGAGTGAATGAGTGGCTGGTTGGGTGGGTGAGTGGGTAAGAGGGGTGGGTGGGCTAGAGGCTAAGTGGATGAGCGCGTGGGGTGAATGCTTGAGCGAGTGACTTTTTGGAGCAGGCTCACGAAGGACGCTCACAACAACGAGCGGAGCCACCGGGTGGCTAAAATGCGGCAAGCTGGCATAGTTGGGGGGGGGTACAGGTGGTGCGTCGGCCAGGAGTCATCTCAGTCGGTCAACCCACTGCACGCTATGGCCTCAAAGTGCACCTGGGCCAGGCACGGGCGCCGCGGTGACGTCGCCCAATGGCGCCTATTGTTGTTGTTGTCGAGTGGCCAAGGGAGGAGTGAGCGAGTGCCACATCTCTCGTTTTCCTATCTCACATCCCCCGTGTGCCCCCCCCCGTGCCCCCCCCCGTTTCCCCCGTGTGCCCCCTGCCCATGCCCCCCCCCCCGTGTGCCCCCCGCCCATGCCCCCCCCCCGCCTTGTGCCCCGTGGGGCTGCCCGGCTGGTGAGCGCAGGCTTGCTACGGCATCCTCAAGGTGCCGGAGGGCAGCTGGCTGTGCCGCTCGTGCGCACTGGGCGTGCGGCCCCCCTGCCTGCTGTGCCCCAAGACTGGCGGCGCCATGAAGCCCACGCGCAGCGGCAGCAAGTGGGCGCACGTCAGCTGTGCCCTCTGGATCCCCGAGGTGGGACTCTGCGCACAACCTGCACAACCACACACCACTCAACCAACCGTACTACCACACTACCAACCACACTACCACTCAACCAACCGCACTACCACACTACCAACCACACCACCACTCAACCAACCGCACTACCACACTACCTCCCACTCAACCAACCGCACTACCACACTACCAACCACACCACCACTCAACCAACCGCACTACCGCACTACCACCCACACTACCACTCAACCAACTGCACTACCGCACCACCACACTACCAACCACACTACCAACCACACTACCACTCTACCAACCGCACTACCACACTACCACCCACACTACCACTCAACCAACTGCACTACCGCACTACCACACTACCAAGCACACTACCAACCACACTACCATTCTACCAACAGCACTACCACACTACCACTCACACTACCAACCACACTACCAACCACACTACCACTCTACCAACCGCACTACCACTCTACCACCCACACTACCACTCAACCAACAGCACTACCACACTACCAACCACACTACCAACCACACTACCAACCACACTACCACTCTACCAACCGCACTACCACACTACCACTCTACCACCCGCACTACCAACCACATTACCTCCCACACTACCACTCAACCAACAGCACTACCTACCACACTATCAACCACTCAACCAACCGCACTACCACACTACCAACCACACTACCACTCAACCAACCGCACTACCGCACTACCACACTACCAACCACACTGCCACTCAACCAACCGCACTACCACACTACCACCCACACTACCACTCAACCAACAGCACTACCTACCACACTATCAACCACTCAACCAACCGCACTACCACACTACCAACCGCACTACCAACCACACTACCACTCAACCACCCACACTACCAACCACACTACCACACTACCAACCACTAAACTAACCACACTACCAACCACACTACCACACTACCAGCCACACTACCACACTACCAACCACACTACCAACCACACTACCACGCAACCAACAGCACTACCTACCACACTATCAACCACTCAACCAACTGCACTACCGCACTACCACACTACCAACCACACTACCAACCACACTACCACTCAACCAACCGCACTACCACACTACAACACTACCAACCACACTACCACTCAACCAACCGCACTACCACACTACCACCCACACTACCAACCACATTACCACACTACCACCCACACTACCAACCACACTACCACACTATCTACCACTCAACCAACTGCACTACCACACTACCAACTACACTACCACACTACGAACCACACTACCACTCAACCAACCGCACTACCACTCAACCAACCGCACTACCACACTACCACTCAACCAACCACACTAGCAACCACACTACCAACCACACTACCAACCACACTACCAACCACTACCAACCACTAAACTAACCACACTACCAACCACACTACCACACAACCAACTACACTGCCACACTAACACTCAACCAACCATACTACCAACCACTAAACTAACCACACTACCACACTACCAACCACACTACCAACTACACTTCCAACCACACTACCACTCAACCAACCACTAAACTAACCACACTACCAACCACACTAACACACTACCAACCACTCGACTTACCACACTACCATCCACACAATTACGTTAAAACAAACACACAAACAACCACACTACCAACCACACTACCACACTACCAACCACACTACCAACCACACTACCAACCACACAATTATGCTAAAACAAACACACAAACAACCACACAATCAACAACACATCCAACCACACTACCAACCACACTACCAACCACTCAACCAAACACAAACAACCACACAATCAACCACACTTCCAACCACACTACCAACCACACTACCAACCACACTACCAACCACTCAACCAACCACACAACCCACCGCACAGTCACTAAATCAACCGCACTACCGCTCAACCAACTACACTACCAATCAACCACACAACCAACCACACAACCACTCAAGCAACTACACAACCGCTCAACCAACCGCACAACCAACCACACAACCACTCAACCAACCACACAACCAATCAACCAACCACACAACCAACCACACAACCACTCAATCAACTGAACTGAACCGCGTTCTCCTGGCAGAGCCAGGGTACGGCTCCTCCTCGACATGGGTAGAAGGGAGTGAGATGGAACAGATGGAGATTAGTCCACCCACGTGGTAGAAGGGAGTGAGATGGAACAGATGGAGATTAGTCCACCCACAGGTAGAAGGGAGTGAGATGGAACAGATGGAGATTAGTCCACACACGGGTAGAAGGGAGAGAGATGGAACAGATGGAGATTAGTCCACCCACGTGGTAGAAGGGAGTGAGATGGAACAGATGGAGATTAGTCCACACAAGGTGTAGAAGAGAGTGAGATGGAACAGATGGTGATTAGTCCACACACGGGTAAAATGGAGTGAGATGGAACAGATGGAGATTAGTCCACCCACGGGTAGAAGGGAGTGAGATGGAACAGATGGAGATTAGTCCACCCACGTGGTAGAAGGGAGTGAGATGGAACAGATGGAGATTAGTCCACCCACAGGTAGAAGGGAGAGAGATGGAACAGATGGAAATTAGTCCACACACGGGTAGAAGGGAGTGAGATGGAACAGATGGAGATTAGCCCACACACGGTGTAGAAGGGAGTGAGATGGAACAGATGGAGATTAGTCCACACACGGGGTAGAAGGGAGTGAGATGGAACAGATGGAGATTAGACCACACACGTGGTAGAAGGGAGTGAGATGGAACAGATGGAGATTAGTCCACCCACGGGTAGAAGGGAGTGAGATGGAACAGATGGAGATTAGTCCACACACGGGTAGAAGGGAGGGAGATGGAACAGATGGAGATTAGTCCACACACGGTGTAGCAGGGAGTGAGATGGAACAGATGGAGATTAGTCCACACACGTGGTAGAAGGGAGTGAGATGGAACAGATGGAAATTAGTCCACACACGGGGTAGAAGAGAGTGAGATGGAACAGATGGAGATTAGTCCACACACGTGGTAGAAGGGAGTGAGATGGAACAGATGGAGATTAGTCCACACACGGTGTAGAAGGGAGCGAGATGGAACAGATGGAGATTAGTCTACACACGGTGTAGAAGGGAGTGAGATGGAACAGATGGAGATTAGTCCACACACGTGGTAGAAGGGAGTGAGATGGAACAGATGGAGATTAGTCCACACACGGTGTTAGAAGGCAGCGAGATGGAACAGATGGAGATTAGTCCACACTGCTGCTGTTACTGCCTTCTGGCAGAGCCAGGGGTACGGCCCCTTCCCCGATGCACACCCGCGCGTCGAAGGGAGTTCCACAGCTCGTCTGCGCGTGATCCGCCAACCCCCCCCCCCCCCGTGTGCCGGTCGGTGCAGGTGAGCATCGGTTGTCCCGAGCGAATGGAGCCGGTAACGAAGATCTCTCAAATTCCGCCCAGCCGCTGGGCCCTCGTCTGCTCCCTCTGCCGCATCAAGACCGGGGCCTGCATCCAGGTGGGCCCAGCCGCACCGCCCTGTGAACGCTACGGCGTCGGTTTTACCGCAGCCTTGCCGCATTGTACCCTCGGCGTGACTTCATCATTGGCCGTGCGTTTTACGTCGCTGTTCGATTCGGTGCCGGTGAGTGAGTGCGTGCCCGCGCGTTCACGTGCGTGTCTGTGCGAGTGGTGACGCTGCTAAGGGTTAACACTGTTAGGTGTTAACGTGAGTGAGTGTGAACACTGTCAGGTGTTAACGTGAGTGAGTGTGAACCCTGTTAGGTGTTAACGTGAGTGAGCGTGAACACTGTTAGGTGTTAACGTGAGTGTGAACCCTGTTAAGTGTTAATGTGAGCCTGAACCCTGTCAGGTGTTAACGTGAGTGAGTGTGAACCCTGTCAGGTGTTAACGTGAGTGAGTGTGAACCCTGTTAGGTGTTAACGTGAGTGTGAACACTGTCAGGTGTTAACGTGAGTGAGCGTGAACACTGTCAGGTGTTAACGTGAGTGAGTGTGAACACTGTCAGGTGTTAACGTGAGTGAGCGTGAACCCTGTCAGGTGTTAACGTGAGTGAGCGTGAACACTGTCAGGTGTTAACGTGAGCGTGAACACTGTCAGGTGTTAACGTGAGTGAGTGTGAACCCTGTCAGGTGTTAACGTGAGTGAGTGTGAACCCTGTCAGGTGTTAACGTGAGTGAGTGTGAACACTGTCAGGTGTTAACGTGAGTGAGTGTGAACACTGTCAGGTGTTAACGTGAGTGAGTGTGAACACTGTCAGGTGTTAACGTGAGTGAGCGTGAACCCTGTCAGGTGTTAACGTGAGTGAGCGTGAACACTGTCAGGTGTTAACGTGAGTGAGTGTGAACACTGTTAGGTGTTAACGTGAGTGTGAACACTGTCAGGTGTTAACGTGAGTGAGTGTGAACACTGTCAGGTGTTAACGTGAGTGAGTGTGAACCCTGTCAGGTGTTAACGTGAGTGAGCGTGAACACTGTCAGGTGTTAACGTGAGCGTGAACCCTGTCAGGTGTTAACGTGAGTGAGCGTGAACACTGTCAGGTGTTAACGTGAGTGAGTGTGAACACTGTTAGGTGTTAACGTGAGTGTGAACCCTGTCAGGTGTTAACGTGAGTGAGTGTGAACACTGTCAGGTGTTAACGTGAGTGTGAACCATGTCAGGTGTTAACGTGAGTGAGTGTGAACACTGTCAGGTGTTAACGTGAGTGAGTGTGAACCATGTCAGGTGTTAACGTGAGTGAGCGTGAACCCTGTCAGGTGTTAACGTGAGTGAGCGTGAACCCTGTCAGGTGTTAACGTGAGTGAGTGTGAACCCTGTTAGGTGTTAACGTGAGTGTGAACCCTGTCAGGTGTTAACGTGAGTGAGTGTGAACTCTGTCAGGTGTTAACGTGAGTGAGTGTGAACACTGTCAGGTGTTAACGTGAGTGTGAACCCTGTCAGGTGTTAACGTGAGTGAGTGTGAACACTGTCAGGTGTTAACGTGAGTGTGAACACTGTCAGGTGTTAACGTGAGTGAGTGTGAACCCTGTTAGGTGTTAACGTGAGTGTGAACACTGTCAGGTGTTAACGTGATTGTGAACACTGTCAGGTGTTCACGTGAGTGAGCGTGAACCCTGTTAGGTGTTAACGTGAGCCTGAACCCTGTCAGGTGTTAACGTGAGTGAGTGTGAACACTGTCAGGTGTTAACGTGAGTGAGTGTGAACCCTGTCAGGTGTTAACGTGAGTGTGAACCCTGTCAGGTGTTAACGTGAGTGAGCGTGAACCCTGTCAGGTGTTAACGTGAGTGTGAACACTGTTAGGTGTTAACGTGAGTGAGTGTGAACACTGTCAGGTGTTAACGTGAGTGAGTGTGAACACTGTCAGGTGTTAACGTGAGTGAGCGTGAACCCTGTCAGGTGTTAACGTGAGTGAGCGTGAACCCTGTCAGGTGTTAACGTGAGTGAGTGTGAACCCTGTCAGGTGTTAACGTGAGTGTGAACCCTGTCAGGTGTTAACGTGAGTGTGAACACTGTCAGGTGTTAACGTGAGTGAGTGTGAACACTGTCAGGTGTTAACGTGAGTGAACGTGAACCCTGTCAGGTGTTAACGTGAGTGTGAACCCTGTCAGGTGTTAACGTGAGTGAGCGTGAACCCTGTCAGGTGTTAACGTGAGTGAGTGTGAACCCTGTCAGGTGTTAACGTGAGTGAACGTGAACCCTGTCAGGTGTTAACGTGAGTGAGTGTGAACCCTGTCAGGTGTTAACGTGAGCGTGAACACTGTCAGGTGTTAACGTGAGTGAGTGTGAACCCTGTCAGGTGTTAACGTGAGTGAGTGTGAACCCTGTTAGGTGTTAACGTGAGTGAGTGTGAACCCTGTCAGGTGTTAACGTGAGTGAGTGTGAACCCTGTTAGGTGTTAACGTGAGTGTGAACACTGTCAGGTGTTAACGTGAGTGTGAACCCTGTTAAGTGTTAACGTGAGTGAGCGTGAACACTGTCAGGTGTTAACGTGAGTGAGCGTGAACACTGTCAGGTGTTAACGTGAGTGTGAACCCTGTTAGGTGTTAACGTGAGTGTGAACACTGTCAGGTGTTAACGTGAGTGTGAACCCTGTCAGGTGTTAACGTGAGTGAGCGTGAACACTGTCAGGTGTTAACGTGAGTGAGTGTGAACTCTGTTAAGTGTTAACGTGAGTGAGCGTGAACACTGTCAGGTGTTAACGTGAGTGTGAACCCTGTCAGGTGTTAACGTGAGTGAGCGTGAACACTGTCAGGTGTTAACGTGAGTGAGGCTGAGAGCGAGTCTCTCTGCGTGTCTCCGTTGGGTCCCAGTGCTCGGTGAAGAGCTGCATCACGGCGTTCCACGTCACCTGCGCCTTCGAGCACGCCCTGGAGATGCGCACCACCCTGGAGGAGGGGGAGGAAGTTCGATTCCGCTCCATCTGCTCCAAGCACAGCAAGCGCCGGCCACTGCAGCAGCAGCAGCAGCAGCATAGGAGCAGCCACGCGGGAGGAGGAGGAGGTGGTGGTGGAGGAGGAGGGTGTGGTCCCACTGAGGATGAGAAGACCAGCCTACGCAAACAGAAGCTGCAGGAACTGCAGGTACGAGGTCACTGCCGGCTGTCACTGTGCGTATCTCTGTGTGTGTACCTGTGTGTCTTTGTTTTGTGTGTCTGTGTATGTATATGTGTGTCTTTGTTTTGTGTGTCTGTGTGTGTATCTCTGTGTGTGTACCTGTGTGTGTGTTTGTGTGTATCTCTGTGTGTATCTGTGTGTCTTTGTTTTGTGTGTCTGTGTGTGTATATGTGTGTGTGTATCTCTGTGTGTCTTTGTTTTGTGTGTCTGTGTATGTATATGTGTGTGTGTGTACCTGTGTGTCTTTGTTTTGTGTGTCTGTGTGTGTGTGTTTGTGTGTATCTCTGTGTGTCTTTGTTTTGTGTGTCTGTGTGTGTATGTGTATATATGTGTGTTTGTATCTGTGTGGGTTTGTGTGTATCTCTGTGTGTGTACCTGTGTGTCTTTGTTTTGTGTGTCTGTGTGTGTGTATGTGTGTGTATCTGTGTGTGTCTTTGTTTTGTGTGTCTGTGTGTGTATGTATATGTGTGTGTGTGTCTCTGTGTGTGTTTGTGTGTATCTCTGTGTGTGTATCTGTGTGTCTTTGTTTTGTGTGTCTGTGTGTATGTGTATATGTGTGTGTTTGTATCTGTGTGTGTTTGTGTGCATCTCTGTGTGTGTATCTGTGTGTCTTTGTTTTGTGTGTCTGTGTGTCTATGTATATGTGTGTGTGTGTACCTGTGTGTGTATCTGTGTGTCTTTGTTTTGTGTGTCTGTGTGTGTATGTATATGTGTGTGTGTTTGTGTGTATCTCTGTGTGTGTACCTGTGTGTCTTTGTTTTGTGTGTCTGTGTGTGTATGTATATATATGTGTGTGTGTCTCTGTGTGTGTTTGTGTGTATCTCTGTGTGTCTTTGTTTTGTGTGTCTGTGTGTGTATGTATATATGTGTGTGTGTATCTGTGTGTGTGTATCTGTGTGTCTTTGTTTTGTGTGTCTGTGTGTGTATGTATATGTGTGTGTTTGTGTATCTGTGTGTGTTTGTGTGTATCTCTGTGTGTCTTTGTTTTGTGTGTCTGTGTGTGTATGTATATATGTGTGTGTATCTGTGTGTTTGTGTGTGTTTGTGTGTATCTGTGTGTCTTTGTTTTGTGTGTCTGTGTGTGTATGTATATATGTGTGTGTGTGTATCTGTGTGTTTGTGTGTGTATCTGTGTGTCTTTGTTTTGTGTGTCTGTGTGTGTATGTATATATGTGTGTGTGTATCTGTGTGTGTTTGTGTGTATCTCTGTGTGTCTTTGTTTTGTGTGTCTGTGTGTGTATGTATATGTGTGTGTGTGTATCTGTGTGTGTTTGTGTGTGTACCTGTGTGTCTTTGTTTTGTGTGTCTGTGTGTGTATGTATATGTGTGTGTGTGTATCTGTGTGTGTTTGTGTGCGTCTCTGTGTGTGTATCTGTGTGTCTTTGTTTTGTGTGTCTGTGTGTGTATGTATATATGTGTGTGTATCTCTGTGTGTTTGTGTGTATCTCTGTGTGTGTATCTGTGTGTCTTTGTTTTGTGTGTCTGTGTGTGTATGTATATATGTGTGTGTATCTCTGTGTGTGTTTGTGCGTATCTCTGTGTGTGTATCTGTGTGTCTTTGTTTTGTGTGTCTGTGTGTGTGTTTGTGTGTATCTCTGTGTGTGTTTGTGTGTATCTCTGTGTGTGTATCTGTGTGTCTTTGTTTTGTGTGTCTGTGTGTGTATGTATATATGTGTGTGTATCTCTGTGTGTGTTTGTGCGTATCTCTGTGTATCTGTGTGTCTTTGTTTTGTGTGTCTGTGTGTGTATGTATATATGTGTGTGTATCTGTGTGTGTTTGTGTGTATCTCTGTGTGTGTGTGTATATGTGTGTGTGTGTATCTCTTATGGAGAGCGGTAGGGTAGTGGTTAGCACTACGCTACGAACCTGGCGACCCGATATTCAATTCTCGCTCATGGCCATCACCTGTGACGATTATCTGAACCGGTCTTGGGCCTCCCCTAGGTCGACTCGGCCTCAAATGAGTACCTGGTCGGGCGTTTAAATTCATCGCTACTGGGAGACAAAGGTGGCCCGGCGTTGTGCTTGACACCCACCCCCTTGCGTGTCATTCCGGCCTTCATAGGTGGTCGCTAAAAGCACTTGCCCCAACAGTCTGTTAAGGCGACACAGGGGATCTTTGTCGTGTGTGCGTGTATCTATGTGTGTGTGCGTATCTATGTGTGTGTGCGTATCTGTGTGTGTGCGCGTATCTGTGTGTGTGCGCGTTTCTGTGTGTGTGCATCTCTGTATATGTGTGTGTGGGCACCTGGAGCGTGTCACTAAGTGGTGGGGCCTTACCATCAGCCCCACCAAAACTAAGCACCTGCCTGGACATTTTATGCCGTCAAACACTCCACCCCCTCAACCCCCCATTGGCGATGGGGCAGTTGTGGAGAGAGTGGAGAGTTTTCTATACCTTGGCAGTTTGCTCATGACCAGCTCCGGTTTTGACAACAGAGGTCTCACTTAGAATCGGTCAATCGGCGTTATCTTTTCATCGGCTGCGTAATACTCTGTGGAAGCTACCTGGCCTGTCGCTCCACTCGAAGCTTCAGGTCTTCTCGACCATGGTCATGCCCTCCATTCCATGCTTGCAAAACGAGGACCCTTGTGAACATCTTTCCCAGTTAGAACCATTCAGGCTGGCATGCCTACGATCCATCTTGGGTTTAACCAGGCTGGATTGTGTGAGGAGCTCACAAATCCTTGAAAGATTTGGACAAAGTACCATCAGTGAGCAGCAAGGCTGCATTGGCTGGGTCATGTAGCCCTCATGCCCAGCCACTGCATGCCGAAACAGCTTTTGTTCGGCCGGATCGAGGGGGCTAAACGGGCGCGGCACGGGCTAGAGGAGAGATGGAGTGATGTGGTACAGGAGGACGTGGAGCTGAGTGGACTTGCCGATGACTGGTACCAGCGGTGTCAAGATCAGCCTCTGTGGGGGAGGCTCGTGAAGGATGCTGCTGCTACTGAGCAGTTGCAGGGAGTCGCCCTCCAGCAACAACAGAGGGCAGAGTAGCGACGTTCACAACAACGAGCGGAGTGCCGGGTGGCTAAAGCACAGCAGGTTGGCACAGTAGGGGGCACAGGTGGTGCATCGGCCAGTCATCTCAGTCATCTCAGTCAGTCGACTCGTGGCACCTGGGTCTGTCCCGTGACCTCCTGCCAGCTGGCTTCACGCGGCCTTAACGTGCACGTGGCCTGGCACAAGTGCCATGGTGACGTCACCGCAACTTAGTGACGAATGGCGGTTGTTGTGTGTGTTTGTGTCACTGTGTGTTTGTGTCTGTATGTGTATATATGTACATGCGTCTGTCTGTGTGTGTGTGTCTCTGTGTATATGTATCTGTCCGTGTGTGTGTCTCTCCATATCATCAGGAGGAGTTCTTCTCGCTGGCGGGCCCCGGTGAGGAGCTGGCCCAGTCTCTGTGTCTCCCCGAGGTTCCGGTCGACCTCCTCTTCCAGTACTGGAAGCTGAAGCGCCGCTCCTCCTTCTCACGCCCGCTCATGGACCCCCCTCCAGACTCCCTCGCCACGGCGGGGGCCGGGGGGGCCGCGGGAGGCTCGGGGGCCGGAGGGGGCGCGGGTGGCACCGAGGCGTCGGAGGACAGCCTCTACCGCCGCATGCGCATGTTCATGTACCTGCGGCAGGACCTGGAGAGGGTGAGGGCGTGTGTGGGTCTATGTGTGTGGGTTGGTGTGTGTATGTGGGTCACCCGGCGCTCCGGGTGGCTTAAGCACAGCAAGTTGGCGGAGTAGGGGGCACAGGTGGTGCATCAGCCAGTCATCTCAGTCATCTCAGTCAGTGGACCCGTGGCACCTGCTGGGTCTGCCCCGTGACCTCCTGCCAGCGGGCGTTCGACACTTCACGTGGCCTCAAGGTGCACATGGCCTGGCACAAGCGTCGTTGTGACGTCACCGCCACTTAGTGGCAAATGGCGCTGGTTGTTGTTGTCTGTATGTGTGTGTTGTTGCGTGTGTGTCTGTGTGTAGCTCCAGTTTAACAGCAGAGGTCTCCGAATCAGTCGAGCGGCAATATCTTTTCATCGGTTGTGTAACGCTGTGTGGAAGCTACCTGGTCTGTCGCTCCGCACTAAGCTTCAGGTCTTCTCGGCCACGGCCATTCCCTCCCTTCTCTACGCTTGCAAAACGTAGACCCCCCTAATGGAACATCTTCGCCGGTTAGAAACATTTAGGCTGGCCTACCTACGATCCATCCTGGGTTTAACCAGACTGGATTGTGTGAGGAGCTCACAAATCCTTGAAAGATCTGGGCAAGGTCTCATCGGTGAGCTCCTCCGGCAGGCAAGGCTGCGATGGCTGGGTCATGTAGCCCACATGCCCAGCCACCGCATGCCGAAACAGCTTTTGTTCGGCCGGATCGAGGGGGCTAAACGGGCGCGGCACGGGCTAGAGAAGAGATGGAGTGACGTGGTACAGGAGGACGTGGAGCTGAGTGGACTTGCCGATGACCGGTACCAGCGGTGTCAAGATCGGCCTCTGTGGAGGAGGCTCGTGAAGGACGCTACTGGGCAGTTGGAGGTAGTCGCCCTCCAACAACAACGGAGGGCAGAGGAGCGACGCTCACAACAACGAGCGGAGCGCCGGGTGGCTTGGGCACAGCAGGTTGGCACAGTAGGGGGCACAGGTGGTGCATCAGCCAGTCATCTCAGTCATCTCAGTCAGTCGACCCGTGGCACCTGGGTCTGCCTCGTGACCTCCTGCCAGCGGGCGTTCGACACTTCATGTGGCCTCAAGGTGCACATGGCCTGCCACAAGCGTCGTGGTGACGTCACCGCCACTTAGTGGCAAATGGCGGTTGTTGTCTGTATGTGTGTTGTTGTGTGTGTGTCTGTGTGTAGCTCCAGTTTAACAGCAGAGGTCTCACTCCGAATCAGTCGAGCGGCAATATCTTTTCATTGGTTGCGTAACGCTGTGTGGAAGCTACCTGGTCTGTCGCTCCGCACTAAGCTTCAGGTCTTCTCGGCCACGGTCATTCCCTCCCTTCTCTACGCTTGCGAAATGTGGACCCCCCTAATGGAACATCTTCGCCGGTTAGAAACATTTAGGCTGGCCTACCTACGATCCATCCTGGGTTTAACCAGACTGGATTGTGTGAGGAGCTCACAAATCCTTGAAAGATCTGGGCAAGGTCCCATCGGTGAGCTCCTCCGGCAGGCAAGGCTGCGATGGCTGGGTCATGTAGCCCGCATGCCCAGCCACCGCATGCCGAAACAGCTTTTGTTCGGCCGGATCGAGGGGGCTAAACGGGCGCGGCACTGGCTAGAGAAGAGATGGAGTGATGTGGTACAGGAGGACGTGGAGCTGAGTGGACTTGCCGATGACCGGTACCAGCGGTGTCAAGATCGGCCTCTGTGGAGGAGGCTCGTGAAGGACGCTACTGGGCAGTTGGAGGTAGTCGCCCTCCAATAACAACGGAGGGCGGAGGAGCGACGCTCACAACAACGAGCGGAGCGCTGGGTGGCTTGGGCACAGCAGGTTGGCACAGTAGGGGGCACAGGTGGTGCATCAGCCAGTCATCTCAGTCAGTCGACCCGTGGCACCTGGGTCTGCCTCGTGACCTCCTGCCAGCGGGCGTTCGACACTTCACGTGGCCTCAAGGTGCACATGGCCTGGCACAAGCGTCGTGGTGACATCACCGCCACTTAGTGGCGAATGGCGGTTGTTGTTGTGTCTGTGTGTGTGTCTGTGTATTTGTGTGTGTCTGTGTGTGTGTGTCGGTGTGCCTGTGTGTGTCTGTGGTGCACCAGTTAGCGCTGCGCTACGAACCCAGCAGAGACCCGAGTTCAATTCCCCCTCACGGCCAACACCAGTGACGATTATCTGAACCAATCCTCGACCTCCCTTCGGTCAACTCCGCCTCCAATGAGTACCTGGTGCGGTGTGTAAACATCTCCACTGGGGAGATGTTAGCGAGTACCTTCATAGGTACTCGCTAACAGCACTTGCCCCTACAGTCTGTTCAGGCTACAGGGGGGATCTTTGTCTTTGTGTGCGTGCGTGCGTGCGTGTAGGTGCGGAACTTGTGCTACATGGTCTCCCGGAGAGAGAAACTCAAGAACTCGTTGACGCGCCTCCTGGAGCAGATCTTCCAGACTCAGCTGCGTCTGCTCGAGACCGGCACCGCCACAGGTACTGCGACTTCCACACCACCCCCCACAGGGAGAGACTCGCACGGAGACCCATAGACTCGCACGGAGACCCATAGACTCACACAGAGACCCATAGACTCACACAGAGACCTGTAGACTCGCACGGAGACCGATAGACTCGCACGGAGACCCATAGACTCACACAGAGACCCATAGACTCACACAGAGACCCATAGACTCACACAGAGACCCATAGACTGGCAAAGACACCCATAGACTCGCACGGAGACCCATAGACTCACACAGAGACACATAGACTCACACAGAGACCCATAGACTCGCACGGAGACCCATAGACTCGCACGGAGACCCATAGACTCACACAGAGACCCATAGACTCACACAGAGACCCATAGACTCACACAGAGACCCATAGACTCGCAAAGAGACCCGTAGACTCGCACGGAGACCCGTAGACTCGCACGGAGACCCATAGACTCACACAGAGACCCATAGACTCGCAAAGAGACCAATAGACTCACATAGAGACCTATAGACTCACACAGAGACCCATAGACTCAAACAGAGACCCATAGACTCAAACAGAGACCCATAGACTCGCACGGCGATCAATAGACTCGCACGGAGACCCATAGACTCACACAGAGACACATAGACTCACACAGAGACCCGTAGACTCGCACAGAGACACATAGACTCACACGGAGACCCATAGACTCACACAGAGACCCATAGACTCACACAGAGACCCGTAGACTCACACAGAGACACAGACTCACACAGAGACCCATAGACTCGCAAAGAGACCCGTAGACTCACACAGAGACCCGTAGACTCGCACAGAGACCCATAGACTCACACAGAGACCCATAGACTCACACAGAGACACAGACTCGCAAAGAGACCCATAGACTCGCACGGAGACCTATAGACTCACACAGAGACACATAGACTCACACAGAGACACATAGACTCACACAGAGACCCGTAGACTCGCACAGAGACACATAGACTCACACGGAGACCCATAGACTCACACCGAGACCCGTAGACTCACACAGAGACACATAGACTCGCACGGAGACTCATAGACTCGCACGGAGACCCATAGACTCACACAGAGACCCATAGACTTGCACAGAGACCCATAGACTCGCACAGAGACCCATAGAGTCGCACGGAGACCCGTAGACTCGCACGGAGACCCATAGACTCGCACGGAGACCCATAGACTCACACAGAGACCCATAGACTCGCACGGAGACCCATAGGCTCACACAGAGACCCATAGACTCGCACAGAGACCCATAAACTCGCAAAGAGACCCATAGACTCCCCATACAGAGACCCGTAGACTCGCACGGAGACCCATAGACTCGCACAGAGACCCATAGACTCGCACGGAGACCCATAGACTCACACAGATACCCATAGACTCACACAGACCCATAGACCCGCACAGAGACCCATAGACTCGCAAAGAGACCCATAGACTCCCCATACAGAGACCCGTAGACTCGCACGGAGACCCATAGACTCACACAGAGACCCATAGACTCGCACAGAGACCCATAGACTCGCACAGAGACCCATAGACTCGCAAATAGACCCATAGACTCGCACGGAGACCCATAGACTCACACAGAGACCCACAGACTCCCCATACAGAGACCCGTAGACTCGCACGGAGACCCACAGACAGAGACCCATAGACTCGCACAGAGACCCATAGACTCACACAGAGACCCACAGACTCACACAGAGACCCATAGACTCACACAGAGACCCACAGACTCCCCATACAGAGACCCACAGACTCACACAGAGACCCACAGACTCGCAAAGAGACCCATAGACTCGCACGGAGACCCATAGACTCACACAGAGACACACAGACTCCCCATACAGAGATCCGTAGACTCGCACGGAGACCCACAGACAGAGACTTATCTGGAGACCCCATAGGCCCACGAACACCGATAGTCGCAACAGGTCGGAAACTCAAACAGCAGGTGTCAGGGTCAGCACGACCTCCTGCATACCTGGTGACGTAGTTCACAGGCCACGAACCCAGCGACCCGGGTTCGATTCCCGCTCGCGGCCAACATCGGTGGCGATTATCTGAACCCCTAGGCCGACTCGGCCTCAAATGAGTACCTGGTGCGGCGTGTAGACATCGCCACTGGGGAGACAAAGGCGGCCGGGCGTGGTTGCTGGCCACTCCCCCCCCCCGTCGTGTGCCGTGCCGGCCTTCATAGGTGCTACTCGCCATCGGCACTTTCCCCAACGTTCTGTTAAGGCTACACGGGGGATCTTTGTCTTGTAGGGGGGCACGGAAGCCGCACTCCTCCCAGCCCCCACTCGCACCCCTGGGGGGCAGGGCGCCAGCATTGGGGTCACAGGTCAGAGCCACCGCCACAACCATCCTCCTGCCAAGCCTGGGTTCAGAGCCCTGGGGGAGGGTCTGGGGTGTCTCTGGGTTCACGGTGGCCGTGCTGTCGCTCACTGGCACAGGCGCTGCTGAGATGATTCAGCCTCGTGGTTACCCTCCCCCACCACTGTCTCACCACTCCCTCACCACTCCCTCACCACTCCCTCACCACTCCCTCACCACTCCCTCACTACTCTCTCACCATTCTCTCACCACTCTCTCACCACTCTCACACCACTCCGTCACCACTCTCACCACTCTCTCACCTCTCTCTCACCACTCTCTCACCACTCCCACCATCCCGAACCACTCCTTCACCACTCTCTCACCACTCTCACCAAATCTCTCACCTCTCTCTCACCACTCTCACCACTCCCTCACCACTCCCTCACCTCTCTCACCACTCCCTCACCACTCTCTCACCACTCCCCCACCACTCTCTCACCTCTCACTCACCTCTCTCTCACCACTCTCTCACCACTCACCACTCCCTCACCACTCCCTCACCACTCTCTCACCACTCCCTCACCTCTCTCTTACCACTCCCTCACCACTCTCTCACCACTCCCTCACCACTCTCTAACCACTCCCTCACCACTCTCACTACTCTCTCACCACTCTCTAACCACTCCTTCACCACTCCCTCACCACTCTCACCACTCTCTCACCACTCTCTCACCACTCCCTCACCACTCCCTCACCACTCTCTAACCACTCCCTCACCACTTTCTCACCACTCCTTCACCTCTCTCTCACCTCTCTCTCACCACTCCCACCACCCCTCACCACTCTCACACCACTCTCTCACCATTCTCACCACTCCCTCACCACTCCCTCACCTCTCTCTCACCACTCTCTCACCACTCCCTCACCTCTCTCTCACCACTCCCTCACCACTCTCTCACCACTCCCTCACCACTCCCTCACCACTCTCTCACCACTCCCTCACCTCTCTCTCACCACTCCCACCACTCCCTCACCTCTCTCTCACCACTCCCTCACCACTCTCTCACCACTCCCTCACCACTCCCTCACCTCTCTCTCACCAATCCCTCACCTCTCTCTCACCTCTCTCACCTCTCTCTCACCACTCCCACCTCTCTCTCACCACTCCCTCACCACTCCATCACCTCTCTCTCACCACTCCCTCACCACTCCCTCACCTCTCTCTCACCTCTCTCACCACTCTCTCACCACTCTGTCACCACTCCCGCCACCCCGAACCACTCTCTCACCACTCTCTCACCACTCCCGCCACCCCGAACCACTCTCTCACCACTCTCTCACCACTCCCGCCACCCCGAACCACTCTCTCACCACTCTCTCACCACTCTCCCGCCACCCCGAACCACTCTCTCACCACTCTCTCACCACTCTCTCACCACTCCATCACCTCTCTCTCACCACTCCCTCACCACTCCCTCACCTCTCTCACCTCTCTCTCACCACTCCCTCACCACTCTCACCACTCTCTCACCACTATCACCACTCTCTCACCACTCTCTCACCACTCTCCCACCACTCCCGCCACCCCGAACCACTCCCTCACCTCTCTCTCACCATTCTCTCACACCACTCCCTCACCTCTCTCTCACCACTCTCACCACTCCCGCCACCCCGAACCACTCCCTCACCACTCCCTCACCACTCCCTCACCACTCTCACCACTCTCTCACCCCTCCCACCACTCCCTCACCCCTCCCACCACTCCCTCACCTCTCTCTCACCACTCCCTCACCACTCCCTCACCACTCCCTCACCACTCCCTCACCACTCTCTCACCTCTCTCTCACCACTCCCTCACCTCTCTCTCACCACTCTCTCACCTCTCTCTCACCACTCTCTCACCACTCTCACCACTCCCTCACCACTCTCTCACCACTCCCTCACCTCTCCCTCACCACTCCCGCCACCCCGAACCACAGGCACCAGCGCTAGCAGCGCCGGCGCAAGCGGTGCGAGCACCAGCGCCTGCGTCCACCGATCGCCGGCCGCGCCGGCCGCCACCGCCCCCGCCTCTTCGTCCTTTTCGGCGCCGGCGTCGGCGTCAGAAATCGCCGGCGCCTATCCCGACACGCCCCGTCGCCCCGACGCCGTCAACGGGCGGCGCCCCCCCACACCGCATCAGCAGCAGCAGGGAGGCGGTGGAGGCGGTGGAGGCGGTGGAGGCGGTGGAGGCGGTGGAGGAGGCGGCGACGGCGGCGGCGGCGGCGGCGGCATCGCCCGTCGCTGCAACGGCTCGATGGTGAAGCTGGCGCTGCCGGGGGGCGCCACCGCCGTGCCGTGCGTGCGCGTGAGCCGCGTGGACGAGCGGAGGGCGCGCGGCGGCGGCGGCGGCGGCGGTGCCGGCGCCCCCCCTCCCCGCGGGGGAGGCTCTCCGTGCCGCCCGGCGGCTCCCGCCGGTGCCGCCGGCAAGCTTGGCGAAGACGACGACCGCGGCGACGGCGAAGAGGAGCGGGAGGAGGTGGAGGGGCGAGCGGAGAACGGCGACGGGGAGAGGAGGAGGACGAGGAGGCCGGCGCCGCTCGCCGACGGACGCGTCCTGAGGAAGAGGCCGGCGCCAGCCGCCGCCGCCGCCGCCGCCGCCGGCGCCGGCGACGCCGACGACGGCGACGACGACGACGACGACGCCGGCGTTGTTGTTGTTGACGTTGGCGAGGGAGGGGGAGGGGGAGGAGGGGGAGGAGGGGGAGGAGTCAAATCCCGGCGGCGGGCAGAGGCCGGACAGCCGCCGGGGGTGGCGCCGCCGGTGCCCCCCCCGGCCTCGGCGTCGTCGGCGGCGGCGGCGGCGGCCATGAAGTTCACTCTCAAGACGAACCTGACCATGTCGCGCTTCCTCAACTCGCTCGTGAGCTGAGGTGCCACGGGGACGGTCGCCCCCCTCCCCTCCCTGCCCCTCCGACCGTCTCTCTGTCTCTGTGTGCGTGCGACTGTCTCCGATTCGTTCTCTTCACCCCTCCCGCCGCGGCCGCCGAGCCTGCGGCGGCGGCTGCGGCGGCGGCGTTTTTTCCGAGCCAATCCGGCATCGGTTGCCCGTGACGTCGTCGGTCGCTTCGCGGTGAGGGCACGGAGTCACCGCAGAGTCCACCGCGGAGTAGTGGCCTGGGTCGGGGTCCCTGGCTGGCCTGGGTCGGGGTCCCTGGCTGGCCTGGGTCGGGGTCCCTGGCTGGCCTGGGTCGGGGTCCCTGGCTGGCTTGGGTCGGGGTCCCTGGCTGGCTTGGGTCGGGGTCCCTGGCCGGCCTGGGTCGGGGTCCCTGGCCGGCCTGGGTCGGGGTCCCTGGCCGGCCTGGGTCGGGGTCCCTGGCTGGCCTGGGTCGGGGTCCCTGGCTGGCCTGGGTCGGGGTCCCTGGCTGGCCTGGGTCGGGGTCCCTGGCTGGCCTGGGTCGGGGTCCCTGACTGGCCTGGGTCGGGGTCCCTGGCTGGCCTGGGTCGGGGTCCCTGGCTGGCTTGGGTCGGGGTCCCTGGCTGGCTTGGGTCGGGGTCCCTGGCCGGCCTGGGTCGGGGTCCCTGGCCGGCCTGGGTCGGGGTCCCTGGCCGGCCTGGGTCGGGGTCCCTGGCTGGGTCGGGGTCCCTGGCTGGCCTGGGTCGGGGTCCCTGGCTGGGTCGGGGTCCCTGGCTGGCCTGGGTCGGGGTCCCTGGCCGGGTCGTTTGCGCCGGTGCGGACTCCCGAGGGTTGTCTGTGTGTGCTCGTCTCTCTCCCGTCTCGACGTCTCCCTCCCGTCTGCGTGCGTCTTCTGCCCCCCCCCCCCCCCCGTGCTCCAGCGCGTCGCGGCGTTCGCGTTGCTCTCTCACGATCTCACGCGAGATCTCACACGAGATCTCACACGGGATCACTCACGATCGCACGCAAGCCCAGTATATATTTATAAGCGACGCGAGCTCTGTATATTTCCACGCGTGACCCATGCCTTGCTCCTCCCCCACCGCACCCTCTCTCTCGACTCTCTCCTCCCTCTCTCTCGCTGTCCTCTAAACTCTCTCCTTATTCTCTCTCTCTCTGTCCCTTGCCGTCCATTGATTGGTTACATTTCAGAATCTTTATTTATCCCGAAGAAATCAGATGAGCTACGAAGCTCTTTTTCACCTCCCCCACCACCCCCCACGTATCCGCAATTCTGAAGCCCCCCCCCCTCCTTTCATGTTTCCCCCCCATCCCCCTCTGTTTGGTCATTATTATTAATCGTAAACGAGGAAACGTTTTGAAGGTTGTTCGCCGTTCCCCTCCCGGTAAATAACAAGCACTGGCATTTGTACCGCGCCGCCGGCGATCGGGCGCCGTGGCGGTGAGCGGTGGCGGTGAGCGGTGCATGGCGGTCACGGCTGTTTACTTTCCCTTTTTTTAGGAAGTTGCGTTGGTTTGTTTTGACGTCGGCGTTGCGACTCGGTGGTGCGCGGATGACCGAGGAGGGCGAGGTGGTGGTAGGAGGAGGAGGCAGGGTCTAGGTTGTTTATTTTATTTTTTTTGTTATAAGGGAAAGGCGCAGTCAGGCCAAGTGGTCCCCTGTCGCGCTCTCTCCCCCTCGCTGCACTCTCTCTCCCCACTCTCTCTACTCTCACCACTCTCTCTACTCTCACCACTCTCTCTACTCTCACCACTCTCCACTCTCTCTCACCACTCTCTCTACTCTCACCACTCTCTCTACTCTCCCCACTCTCTCTCCACTCTCTCACCACTCTCTCCCCACCCTCTCTACTCTCACCACACTCTCTCTCTACTCTCCCCACTCTCTCTCCCCACTCACTCTTTCCCCACTCTCTCTCACCACTCTCTCTCACCACTCTCTCTACCCACTCTCTCTACTCTCTCTCACCTCTCTCACCACTCTCTCTCACCACTCTCTCACCACTCTCTCTTTCCCCACTCTCTCTTTCCCCACTCTCTCTCACCACTCTCTCTACTCTCACCACTCTCTCTCTACTCTCCCCACTCTCTCACCACTCTCTCTACCCACTCTCTCTCTCCCCACTCTCTCTCTCCCCACTCTCTCTACTCTCCCCACTCTCTCTACTCTCCCCACTCACTCTTTCCCCACTCTCTCTCACCACTCTTTCCCCACTCTCACTCCCCACTCTCTCTCGACTCTCTCTTTCCCCACTCTCTCCCCACTCTCTCTCCCCACTCTCTCTACTCTCTCCGCCTCTCCACTCTCTCTCCACTCTCTCACCCCACTCTCTCTCTCCCCACTCTCCCCACTCTCTCCCTCATCCCGCACTCTCCGTGTGTCTCTCTCCTTGGCCGGCACAACTCGGCACCGGTCCGGTGCTGGGACCTTGCGAACTCTCTCCAGCGTTGGAACCTTCGCAGCCTTTGAGTCTGGCTGGGGGTTGAGTCATGTGCAGGGGATAGGGGGTGGGTGGGTGGGCCAGCGGTGGTTGCTGGAGGGGAAACGGAGTGTGCGACGTGCATCGGAGAAGGAGTGCAACGTAATCCGATGTTGTGTTGTACTTCTAAGCTCCCCCACACCCCCGCCCAAGGGTGCCCTGGCTCCCATCCGCTGCTCCGCCGCCACTTTGAGCACACAGTGATGACACCCCGTGATGAGTGAAGTACAGTCGAGGCCACACCACACCACCACACCACCACACCACCACCAACCACGACCTGCGGAGTGCGTGGGGAGGCCCTCATCCAGCCCAGCAGTGGAATTGGCAAATGCACGCCTGCAGTCTTGTCACGTGGCACTGTTACACGGACACGCGCAGATACACGCAGACGTAGACACACACAGAGATGCTCAGACACACAGACGCACACACGCAGAGAGACACACGCAGAGGTACAAAGACACAGAGAGACACACTCAGAGATACAAAGACACACGCATACACACGCATACACACGCATACACACTCAGAGACAGACACGCACAGACAGAAACAGACACAGACGAACGCGGAGAGAGCGTGACGCACACAGACAGGCATGCTCGTATACGGTATGTAACGGGTGAGGTGGTGGAGCTGGTGGTGGGCCTTATGTTGTGAATAGGACCGTCGCCGATACGTCACCTGTCATATGTTTGGTTAGGTTATTCTTAAGGTCCACGCACGGAGATCCATAGACTCGCACGAGACCCATAGACTCGCACGAGACCCATAGATTTGCACGGAGACCCATAGACTTGCATGGAGATCCATAGACTCGCACGGAGATCCATAGCCTCGCACGGAGACCCATAGACTCCCACGGAGACCCATAGATTCGCACGAAGATCCATAGACTCGCACGGAGACCCATAGCCTCGCACAGAGACCCATAGCCTCGCACAGAGACCCATAGACTCGCACGCAGACCCATAGACTCGCAAGGAGACCCATATACTCGTACGGAGACCCATAGACTCGTACGGAGACCCATAGCCTCACACAGAGACCCATAGACTCGCACAGAGACCCATAGACTCACACAGAGACCCATAGACTCACACAGAGACCCATAGACTCGCACAGAGACCCATAGACTCGTACAGAGACCCATAGACTTGCAAAGAGACCCATAGACTCACACAGAGACCCATAGACTCACACAGAGACCCATAGACTCACACAGAGATCCATAGACTCACACGGAGACCCATAGACTCGCACGGAGACCCTTAGACACGCACGGAGACCCATAGCCTCGCAAAGAGACCCATAGACTCGCAAAGAGATCCATAGACTCGCACGGAGACCCATAGACTCGCACAGAGATCCATAGACTCGCACAGATCCATAGACTCGCAAGTAGATCCATAGACTCGCACGGAGATCCATAGACTCGCAAGTAGATCCATAGACTCGCATGGAGACCCATAGACTCGCACAGAGATCCATAGACTCGCACAGATCCATAGACTCGCAAGTAGATCCATAGACTCGCACGGAGATCCATAGACTCGCACAGAGACCCATAGACTCACACGGAGACCCATAGACTCGCACAGAGACCCATAGACTCACACGGAGACCCATAGACTCGCATGGAGACCCATGGACTCGCGCAGACCGAGTTGAGAGTAAGCCGGCTTCTTGGTGCGTTGTGAGTTGATGGTTTCAGCCCCCGTCACCGACGTTGACTGCACAGGGGGGGGGACCGCACTTGTTCCTTTTTTTACTGTTGTTTGTGCACTCAACTTTGTCTCGATCCCAACTCCCGACGATTCTTAATCGCGAAGAAAAGTCTCAAAAGTCTGCCTGTGGAGCGGTGAAGCGTTGCCCTCGGCGTGGGCGGCAGAGAGCCGTCGGGGGGGCGGGGGGGGGGGAGCTGCCGCCCGACGCTCTGTGGCGGAGCAGGCGGTGGGGGCGGTGAGTAGGAAGGGGCAGAACGGGGAGGGGGAATCCTCTCGGATGTAGCTCTCCGCTATCTACTTCCGCGGGGGTAGGGCCCGACCGTTCTCCTCCGGGGCCTGTCGCCGTGATAGTTTTTTTTCCTTCCCTCCGAGGCCACCGGTAGTAGTAGGGGGGGCGACGGCGTTGGGTGTAACTCGCTAAAAGTAACGAATAATAAAAAGAGCGAGGTAATGTTATTTATGTAACTTGTGGGCGTGCCTTAACCCTCTCCTCC